CATTTTTACTTGACCGTGATAGAATTTAGCTATACTACTAATACACATGAATGTTTATCAAAACAAAATTTAAATACGTGAGTGATGATTATATGAATTTTGGACAGATAGCTAGGAACAAATCGTTAAACATGAGTGTATTCGTAAGAGACATGCTCTAGACTCGATGTTCTGATCTGTGGCAGACTATTTATTTGTATTTATACTTGCCGGCTGATTGGGCATACAAGTTAGTTGCAAGTATGCAGTTTATCATAAGGCGGAATACGACTTAATTGAGATATAGTGGTTATAAGTTATTGAAATCAGTTAAGCCTATGTGTCATATTACTAAGTGATGTGGTGCTGCAAGATGTATTTAGCTAAATGAGTTCTTACAAGATGATTAATAGTGAGTGATGCTCATGTGATTATCAGGGAGAACATAAGTTGTAACCAGGGGGAGTACACTCCCAACTCATGTCTATGATGATGGCTTGAACCTTAGTCAGTGTTGGGGTAAATTCGACATTGATGTTTTCAGTTTACGGGAGATTTTCTCGACTGCTTATACTGATTATTTGCATGCATGATTGTGTCGCTAGACCATCAATTAGACTGACAAGGTTTTGAGATATTTACTGAATGAGCAACTGAGAGAGAAACATACTGTAATCATCTGTAGTGAATGAAGATAAAAGAAAAACAACACTAGTGATAATTGTAAGTCGATTTGCTGACCGATTTTGTTAATAGTTTCCTTAATTTTATCAATCATATTACGTGATTGTCAAGTCATGACAATGCTTTATGACGATATCCTGAAACTATTAAATTTAACTAGTTATAGTGTTGATTGATGATTAGTCAGTGGAAAAATAGGTATTGTTGCTTTAGGTGATTCGAAATTATCAGAAATTTATAACGCTAAAGAATCCGAGACGCCTAATTTAATTATAAATTTCAATTCAGAAATATTCGTTATGTTAGTTCTAGTAGGCTACGAGTTTTGATTTTAAACGTTTGTTTAGCCAACAACTACCTGAGGATTTAGGTATTTTACTAGTGGAGTTGATAGTACCTAAATTTGTAATCTTATTATCTAAACTATGTCCGCATTTTAGGCTGCTAATATGATAAATCAATCCATAAACCCAAATACGACTAGCAACAACGACTATGATGGGTTTATTGATGAATGTTAAAGGCGATTCAGATGATTTCTAAATTTAGAAGACATGAAGATATAGTGTAACGTATGTACGGGCCAGGTTAACAAGCAGGTTGTTGACGTATATGACAATTTAAAAATACTGAACATGACCAGATAAATAAATTCAAAGTTAAGAATGCTTGTGAAACGTCAGGCAGGAATATGACGCGTTATAAACATTCCATAAAAAGTTACTGCATTTAGCCTAGGGACACTTACAAATATATGGCAAAAGCAACTGGAAGACATATACATGTTAAGTACAAAAAATCATTAAGTAAAATAGTCGGACTCGCCTGGGTTATTTTTGAAAATTAGATTATTCAGTAGACGAAACATACAACGCCACTCGTGAGTAGTAATGATCCAAAACAATCCAGAAAGAACATGCAGTATGGCAATTAATTCCAGGGTGCTTGGTGCTGTTGTCGTTTTTGCCACTCGCTCGGATCAGAACAACCGGATGAATCCAGATAATTGTGCGGTCACCATTGAACGAGCCATCTAAAATGACCGTATGTTTTTAGAGGAGTGTCATCCTTGTTGTTTGGCAATGGAACTCGAAAATTTGAAATTAGGCAGGCAGTGGTCGGAAGAAAAGATATTACAGGATAGTGCATAGTTTAAAACAGGATGAATTGAAGGAACACCAAGAATTAGATCCAGATAAGTTATTTACAGCTCATATTCACTGCAGCTTCATGTTTAAACAAGTCTATGTCGCTGAAGCAGGTAAATGCTATTAAAGCTTGTTAACGAACCATCAAAGCTAATTAGTTGATATAGATGATCAACTTTTATTATCGATTGAGCTAGTAAGTTATGAGAACTAATATATATAACATTACGATAATATATGTGACCATTAATCAAAGGACTATTAGAATACTGAGTTTACAAAAATAAAAACCGATTGACAAGGTTAAGGTGGAAATAAGGATTAACAATAATAGGTTGCGTTTCTTTAGTTGGGCTCACCAATGTAGAATCATGGTCTACTATGATATTAGTACTGCCCTTATAATAGACCTAATCCTAAATTTGTAGATTTGTCATGATATAACTGCCTAATCTATAAGATCTTACGTGGAAGTCACACCATCGACTACACCAACTCACTGTATCGTATCAATTACCAATACATGATGTAGAACAAGGTTAGGCTAGAGAAAGAACAATATATTTAGTATGAATAGAAGATATAAAGTACCATTGAGATGGACCACGCCTGCATGGACGAGCCATGCCATCTGATCAAACCCAGTCCATTCAATTCCTTGTTCGCGCCTTCTCCATTGTTAGGTATTTCTCCGCGTTAAATATTGAATATCTATTTTCTGAGTAGTCTCGTGTTCACAGCTTTGTGGATTGTGTGGCTATTGTTCAATGCCACTACAGATACTCCCAAGACTTGTCGTTTACAGAACAGATATTGAAACAGACCTCTAAGTCTCGACGTCTTGTAGGTCACATAACTCAAAACCTTAATAACAGTGAGACACGTATTTTAATGTACAAAGTTTGTGTTTGACTACTTCCATATATTGCACGTTTACTCTTAGGTGTGCGCGTATAAAAGATAAATTAAGGCTGAAATCAGTACGGAGACAATTTGCACTTCGTATTCTTGAAGCTGATTGTACCTTAACTTATAATTCTAGATGTAATAAAATCGGGCTAAACCCTTTATGGAAGAGAAGACTCAAACTAAATCTTATCTTTTTCATCAAACTACTTAATAAACTATCCTTTACATCCGATCACGTGATTCAATATGCAGAAACTTCTCATTATAACACACGTAATTCCTTGGCACTAGTGAAACAAACTTATTGTAAATAATCGCTTCATGTGAATTTCTTTACCTGTAAATTTTGTAGACTCTAGAATAACCTATCACAATCTATCCGTACGATAAAATCACTCCCATTATTTGTTCGCTGCATACTGGCCCTCTGAAAATGCATTACATGTTCTAGCACCTGCAAGTGTATCTCATTCCACAAGTGATATACTAGGAACTTTAAATATTTAGCCATCTTTATTAATCCATTCTCTAAGTAAAACCACCTACTTGCTGTCACTTTATGTGAACACCGCCCCTAGCAACTTTAAATAGTTTGAATAATATATAACATCAACAGTATATCACTGTCACATGACACATGCATTTTGTTAGACCTGATTGGCATATTTTGGTAATTACTGCTTAGTTGTTCCGTGCTCTCTGTTTTCGTTTTAATTTCTCTAATTGTAGATAACTATCATTAATTCTATCTGGCACACGAAATGACCTTAATTACACCGCTCATAAATCAACACTGTGTCCATCTAAGAAAAATTAAAAATTCCCGGCTGATGCATTGGACCGCCGTAATACATGTACTACCTAAACAATTACTGAACTAGTATACTTAAAACTTTCTTCTATCACATGTTTGTTCTCTACATCTAATGTTACTATTTATAACAAACTGGTCATGCCTGTAAACTGGCGTGAATTATGTAATTATTATTTTCAGAATATATAAATTTATTATCATCACAAGACCCTCAAAAGTCACGGGGTCCTCGAATATATGATGGCCTACGTGACTAGTTATTATCCACAAACGTTTCACACCTACAGCATGGTTCCAGGAAAAATTACTCTTCTATGAACAACCTCCTAACCGTGATGAACGGATGGACATCTACCCTTGATCACAAAGTTGTGGTTAATGTGATATACCTTAACTTCTCAAAGGCTTTTGATAGAGTCAGTCATATATGCCTCGTCGAGAAGCTAGATCAATAAGCACCAATTAACTGTTAATTAACTGACTTGCTTCATATCTGAATAATCAACGTTTTGCGGTCAGGCTAAACACCACTTTCTATCAGGCTGTAGAATGTTCTGGTGGCGTCCCTTAGAGTTAAGTACTAGGACTTCTCTTCTTGATTTATATAGACGACGTTGGAGAAGTTTGGGATCAAGTTGATGAGCCGGTACTTCAGGAAGATCTGACTCGTCTTTAGAGTTAAGAGGATAACACCGGGCTCACTTTCAACTCTTCGAAATGTAAAGTAGCCCATCCGCGACATGTTGCAGATTACTCATACAACTTAGGCCACTCCCCTCTTAAGATATCCGAAGTTGAATATCTCGGAGCGTTGGTACCCTATGATCTGAAGTCATGTGCTAACTGTGAAAACAAGGCTTCAAGAAGACCTTGCACTAAAAACGTTGATGAGCATTTTCGGAGAGTTCGACGGTAGAACTTGACACTTGTTTTCCATCAGTTTTATTCGACCAAATTTGGAGGATGCAAGCATAATCGTTCCTCCCTCACTCCAACAGGATGAGGACATGTCGGGACTTATAAAACAGTGAGCCTTCAACTTGTTTCGGGGACTGAAATTTAAGCCTTTTGAAGAACTCAGAACACCGAAAATTTCCCCATTAGGGTGTAATCACCTAAAAGGTAATCTATTAGTGACTTATAGCACCATGAATACTCCTGGACACTTTTGAATACCTACTTATGCACAGTTTCAACATACACATTAGGGGTAACACACATAAACTAGAGAAACAACGTAGCAGAACAGATTGCAGGCACATCTTCTACTTCCTAAGAATAGTCAAATACTAGAATTCTTAACCGGCTGGAGCAGTTCAATCTTTTTATCAAGAGTCTCTTAAGAACAAACTTGACATGTTACAAAGGACTTGAGGCAGTATCTCACCATAATTTACAAACACGTCTCTTTTTATCGTTAAGTATACCTAGGTTCCTATCTGGAGACATTGGCGATCCACTACCACTAGACACAGAAGCCCGTTAAGCGAAAGTTTTTTATATTCTACCAAGGACTATTTTGAACCATTTGACTATTATCTTTGTAAGCAATTCTAAAGCGCTAAAAATTAAATAAGAAGGTCATCAGCTATAAGCGTATTTAGCTATGAGAAATGGTATATCATTTTGGCCAGTTAACTATGAGCACAGATTTTTTGGATAATACCAATTTTGTGGGTGACTGCGTATGTGTATTTTTATATCAAAGCCAAGTGTGATGATCCAGCAATGACTAGGGTTATGATTGTCTTAGGATCTGGTAATGTTTATTTCATACTTTATGTTAGGTGGACACACTGCTGAAATGCTCTCATATACTTCTGTATTGACTTGTAAATTTCAACCACGTTTGTATGTTATCGCGACGACTGATTCTATGAGTGAACAAAAGGTTTTGGATTTAGGGGACAAGTGTGATATTAAAGTTAGTCTCAGTTTTGTATTACAAATCTCTAGTTCAGCATAAAGCGCATACCAAGGGCTCGAGAAGTAAAACAGTCATACGCTAGCAGCATCTTCAGTACCTTAGTGTCTTGTCTATCTGCGTTCCCCATCGTCACAATTTTTAGGGCGAAATTGGTGAGTTACAGAAACCTTTATTAACATTTACACATAATGGTCGATGTAAACTAATATTTTAACTGAGTGCTAGGGCTAGATCCTTCTTAAAACTGGAGTAACGTATTCATTGGCATAACTATTTGTTGCCGGAATGGATCGGAACTTTTCAAGTTCCTAGGTCATTGATTTGCCATGAGTAGCTGCAATGCTTACCGCGTTTAGCGTAAACCCGTGTGCTTTTGCCGGAACGCACCTTTAATCATTGCCTAAAGTGTAGTGTTGTAATTAATGCCACATTTATTTACTTCATATCTCGCAAATTTACGACTTTTTGTGGAATACCTATATTACAAACAACATTTATTAGTTACTTCACCTTAAATATAATGGTGCTCAAGAAATGGTTTGACCTTGTTCCCAAATCAAGACACAAAAATTCTGGAAAGACAAGTATAAACACCCAATAAAGTTATTGATTTTCTATGAAGCATAAATTTTTGTAGGGACTTTTAGTTGATACCTAATTGTACTTTATTCTAGTGTTTGTATACGATCAAAAACAGTTTTTCGTGCTGTAAGTGACTAAGACTACTGTCTTATAGTCAAGGGGAATGCATAAACTCCTTTCAAGTTTAGGGTTGATATAAATTGTTTAGGAGCTCGAAGTATGTAGACTGTCGCATCCCTTCTACTTTTAACAGTTTTATTCTCCTTCATAAATTTTCAGTAACCAGATGTAAATGTTTATCATCGTAATTTTATTGACGGGATTCCCCAGTATTAATATTCCAGCCAACACTATGTGGAGTCTTTTTTACTAGCTCAATATTGTCCTCAGCTCAAATAAAGAAACTCCGCTATATGTGTAGTAGGTTAAAAAAATGTGACTACTAAATGTTTCTTCGGCAACGTTCGACACTTGGTTTTCTACATTTTATTCGTTCAGTAAAAAGACAATTGTATCCAGCTAATTAAGAAGACAAGAATAAATAATGCAATTGGAGTTTTGAGTGTGCTTAACAAATCTCAGTCACCTTGCTCTGTTGTCTCACCATAATCAAGCAACGACTTAAAGATAGATGTGATCGATTGCTGACAACCTATATATCAGATTTAGAGGGAAGCCATATTACTATGGACAATCTTGCATGCATTCATCAATGAGTAATACGTAATCCATTTTCCGATTTTATAAACTGTTGATATCAGTTAATAGGTACAGTCAGATATAACTCACTGTCATAAAATTTTGTTATTAGTTCTTTCGTACTGTTCTGCCTTTTGTTTACTGATTCTGGTGTGCGAAGACCTCTAGGAACAAATTTTTTAGCCAACTCAGTCAAGTAGATCACAAAAGTGAATTGGGCCGCTAATTTAAGCTAACTGCTGTGATTAAATAGGTACTAGTTGATTAAATAAAAGTCATCATTCGTAATCTGGACCAAATCAAACTTCCACACGACTATAACTTACAAACTGTAGTTGCTCAGTGCGATCAATTATCCTTATTATGACAATACATGGATAGTTACTGCATAGATCAACAAAAAAGTATGTGACTAAATTGTATTTTTTCTACGGGACACTTCAGTTCCTGATGATATTTTTTATTTATTTATTCATTTTGAGATTTAAAAACTGTTATAATCCTTGTAAACTTAATATATTTAAGCTCATATATACTCTTCAAACTGGTACTTCCCGTTGTATATGCTTTTATTGTTCATAAGATTGTTATCAACTCATTTATGTACTCAATCCTTAATACAATCTGCATTTCACGTAGATTTTGTGTAATGGTCCTGGGACATGTATCCCCATATGCTTCGTGGCTATTTTACTCCACGTAAGATAAATATAATGATTTAATATATTATCACTTAATAATTGTGACACATCTTAATGAAAGTCATATTTCATGTTTCTGATTGCCGTATTATATCGAGTACTTGAACTTACTTTCCATCTATGTACTTTATGTTTTTATATTAAATCAAAAAGACTTGACTATTACAAGTTACTTTGAATCGCTTTAACGATTGTCTATAACATGCACTTGTTATTTCTTGGATCTCTACGTTGTTGTGGTGGTGTTGATAACTACTGTAGATGACTCTGAGTATCTTACAGAAATACCCGTATCACGCGGATCTGGTCATCTTGGTAACCAGCTTTTAACAATCCTCATAGCTCTGTTATAAGTTGCCTCCAAATGCTGTGGTGCGACCAAGGGTGGGGAGAGTCAGTTCTCCATCTCAAAATGCTCTCATATGACCAAGCGTATACAGCTACTGCCAGGGAAGTCCTACTCACTGCCTTCTCACGGTGAGGTTGTTGCTTACGAAATCGAGCGGACGAAAAACCTGGTTGATAGGTACGTAGAATCCACCTAGGGGAGTTGGAAAACCCTGATCCCAAACCACTGGTGCACATGGGTTCCAGGATCCTGAGAGAATAAGGGGTATTCGAACCTAATGTCGGTCATCGGCTCCCATGGGACTTCATCTCCTAACTTTGCTCCACTGCCCTGTGGATTGGACCTCTAGGTGAAAGGCTCAGGAAGTGGCCCCCTAAAAACCCATCTGCTTCGGTTTGGGTACATGGGCAGTATTCCAGCTCTTACACAAATCGACTAACAAAATGTGGCTCATATATGTTTGGTGTCTCCTTGTACCAATGTTTATGTGTTTAAATAAATGAATAAACTGTCAGGAGTTCGGCCATTCGAAATAATGGAGCTTAATCAAGTGATAAAATAGTCCCAGGCAGTTGGCAAGATGTTATTGTGTAAAACTTAATCATTCAAGAATAACAAGTCTCTACTCTTCTGAAATAATAAGAAATATTTAGGTTTTACCAAGTATTTTATAAAACTCAGTTAACTAGTACAATGTGTTTGTTCGTGTGCACTTTAATTGCTTTTAATGTTGGCATGTCATCCTTTTAGCAAAGGATGTGGTCCGTAAGCGGAGGACCTTCTGCGCTCTTGTGTCCCTGATTTTTGCACTTTCATCCTACTGTAAAAAGTCTTAAAATCGAGACTTTACACTGAATTCATTCTCGCCCATAAAATGTATGTGATAAAAAACACTTAAGTAGGTTGTGCATGATATTCATCTTTTCTGCTTTTTTGATCAGAAAAGTTTTGGCCTACATAAAAGGTTCATATTCAGTAGGATTGTTGGTTTAGTTAAAGAGATTTTGAGATGCTACTTTCATTTTTATTTCTTAGCAATAAATTGTTCATACATGGAATAATGAACTAAGATCCAACTGGGAAGTCTGAATTTTCATACCTTATTAAAAGCCAAAATTGTTACTTGATGGTATCCATCCGTCTAATTTCATAGACTATATACACTGAGTTATATTCTGAAAACTGATTTAGTGAATCCAGTTAAATAACCATACTGCAGTTCATAATCCTTAATCTGAAATTACATTTATTAAATATGATAAGTGTTATTTATTTCCTAGTAGTTTTACTTAGGGTGTTTGTCAAACAAATCTAGAAATGTGGTATCACGAAATACTTAATCACTTAAAATTGTAGTACACCAAAAGCACATAGAATAAGATAAAAAACTGGGGAATACAATGATACTATTTTGTGTTACCGTAGTCATTACTTCGTTCGTTTTCTTTTTCCTTTGATAACTTGGTGACTAGTGTCACTTGGTAGAGTAGTGATGTATTGACAGGCTTCTCATGAACCGTCCTATCCACACTAATCTATTAAAGGAACCACCATAAACTCAGAATTCCAAACATCGTTTCAGTTTTTCTCACGTTTAATATACTGATCGTTAAAGGAAACTAATTTGCTTATGTGATTCTTTATATATTGTTTGCTGCTTTTCTCTTTTTGTCATCAACAGGTACTAAAAATCCATTCAACTCTTATAATTTTTGTTGAAAGTATTTGTCGTACCAAAACTTTATCATTATCTGGGAAAATTTTATACTATACTCGTTTAGTAGATGTAATTGTTCAGTGGCCAGAATTGAAGACAAAATATCCAAGATCAATTTACTTAGGACTTTTATCGTAAACTACTGCATCCAAACATCCTTGTTATATGACTTGCATCCAGAGCACTTTTCTTTTTATATTTATAATATGTGTTTTTTGTTCTATGCGATCATCGTTTGAGATTCGAAATACATTTTACATTTGGTTAAAATAATTATCACTGTTAGATCAAAAACGGGGAATGATTGTACACCTATAAACGAACTATTTTATTTCAGAAACGATAATTAAAGTTTTGTATACGTCTCGCTATTAGTTCGCTGAAAACAAAGTCCATTGTTTCAAGTATAGGAACGTTAGTAAATGGATAAAAATGCTTGTTTAAACAAGATGATAACTCTTTTAAACTGGTATTAAGGAATCATGTGACCGACAATAATTTGGAAACACCTAATAGACCCACTAAAAATTTAAACAACAGGGTTTTATTTCGAAACAATTTTCCAAAATGTTGAAGCGTATAGAGAGAATAACACTAGGATTGTATAGTCTGGCTAAAATACATGAAAATATTTCTTGGCTCCTTAACCTGTTTTAGATGTGAGTAATTTCGCCTATCATGCTACAGTTAAGTGATTAATATGAGTCTAAAAATGTTGTGATAGTGTAAATGGCTCCTTTGAACTTGTTGATAATGTAGTCAAAATAACTTTTTGATATCATTAAATGTGACGTTTCTATTCACTAAACCCTTCCTCCTGGAAGCAGAATTTCCACTGAATTAATAGAGAAACAGAAAATTTAATCCTTGTTTTTGCAATGAACAACAACCTAATTTCCTTAGTTTATTCAGTCAGTTATAAAGTAATGCTTTCTTTTCTAAGATATTCCAAGTTACGACTTATTAACTAGTTTCATTTTCGATTTATCAATTCAGTCACTATTGACTTCAGAGTTCTATTAAACCAATTTTTCACCAGAACAATATCTATTTCAAAAGGAGAATTGTAACACCGACTAGTATTACCATAAAATAACTCATTATAGTTACAAGTTAATAAAATAAAAGCTGTTACGTAAAGCACATTATCAGATGTTCAATTTTGTATTACAAAATTAAGAAAATCCCATCTAGACTCAAATTTGAAACAAATGACTTACGCTCGTTACCCCTCGTGGAGGAGCATAGGTTGCCCACCAGCTAAAACAAATGACGTATCTTACATATCAAGCTTTGATGACTTCGTACATTAAGGAACGGTATATTTTGGGATCGAGAAGTGTAAGTTGTCTGCTGCTTAGTAGAGGATATCTTATTTTGCAAAAGATCTTTTAGTATCACTCCGACTGAGCGTTTAGATCAATAATTCTGTTTGATAACCTGTTATTAGTTACTCACACCTTGTCAGTGTGTAGCATCTATTGATTAGTACCATTTATAACACTAACAATCAAAACACGTCCAAAACCCTTTTAATAGCACAAACTTCATCCTGTTTATGAACAAACTTTTAATTCAACAAATTTATTTCCTATCCATGAAAGGTATAAAAGATTAAAATTACCTAGAATCATTTTGGCTGGTTTGTATGAATAATTCATCTAATTACTTATAATTATCTATAAGCCTAGTTGTATTTGATAAAACTCTGGAACAAAGAGCTAGTTCAAACAACTTTCGTGGACTGGCATAAAATAATTTTATATAAAAGTTTGAAAATTCATTGGGGAATTATGAAATTTAATTTTAACTTTATTTCTGAAACAGAAATGAGTTCTATTTCAAAATGAAAAAAATTGAAATAAATAGACAGATGTATAAAGAATGTATATTTTTGAGTTTTCCACTAACCGAGTACTTGTTTATGATATCACCTAGAAAAAGCTGTAAAATTACGCGGCACTGGATATCTGTTCCGTTCACAAGCCTCCCATTCAGGTAATAACTCTGAGCTTACCAGTGACTAACTTCAAGAATTCGTAGCTCTAGTGTGAAGTTGTCAACGGTGAAGTTCAACTATGGATTTAAGATGAATATCGTTAGTTACAATCGATGGCTTTCATGTAATATTGCTCAATAATTGAAGGTGCAGATCTGAATCATTGGGTTTCAACTCAAATGTCTAAAGATATTACGAGAACTGTGTGCCTCGCGTTCAGTTCGTAGCATTGTCTGGGATATGGATTGCTGAGGAGTCTTAAAGTTAGTGTGAAACTACTGTTTTCTAGCTCCCGCTATATCTCTAGCCAAATTCAGCTCGTGATGTGAAACATCTCCGTACATTACAAACTTTCCACCATAATACTATCCCTTTAGATAAATTACAGTAATATGAGCATAGTGGTCTGATTCAATTACTCTTTTGTTACCTGCATATCTGTTATGCGTAGACATTTTATATATTGTATTATTTAAATATTCATGTTATAAATTAGTTATACTTTAGGCACTGAATAACACATACGTTTCTTCCTTTCTGGGGCTCACCAGCTGGGTCTACTTTAATCCCAGTGTTGGTTTCCAGAGTGAAACTCATCACATCGCTTCCGACACAGGATTATACATTAGATTTCTCAATCACAATAACTACCAACTTATGTTAGCCACTACTGAAAAGACAGTCAATCTTCAAAATTAAGCAATATCAAGAAACGTATGACAAACAAAAACCGACCAAATATAGTCTTGAATATCAGCGAAAAACGCAAATAATAGGTAGGCATAAATCTGTAAACCAGACAAACAAATCATGATTAGGAGTATTTGAATTATAGTACGAACTAAGAATCCCAGAAATAACGTAATCGGATCAAGAAGTACTAGATAAACACGAACGAATGTATTGTATTTGGAATTCGAAATCAAGCATTCAACAAGTACAAAGGAATCATTAGTTCATTCAAACACCACATCCGCCACAGCTCAAATTAGACCTAAGTGTCTGTAACCGATTGTACGTCTTCTTCTTAAGTTCTTCCTGTGTCTGTCCGACATTGTATTGGATAAAAACTCTGTATTATATAGAATGTACTCATTAGTATTGAAATAAACAACCGAAATCGGGACAGACTCACTTGGTTCCTGAGATTGTATACAATCGCCGTGTCGGTTGTGTACCGAAACCACTATCTAGAATTTAAAGCACAGATTCCTCAACACTATCGTCCCCCACGAAATGACGTTGGATCTTTATATCCCCAAGTTATGAATGATGTGACTTCATTTAAAACATATTTCTCATATTGAATAGAGTAAACATTGGAAGTGACTTCGTGATAACGATAAACAGCAGTTGATATGAAATCATTCGAATTGTAATCAAACTCGAGCTCATTTAGTACTTGTGCTTCGCACTGGACAAGTTTCCCACAAGAAACAAATGCATTATGAGGACAAACAATATTTGATAGAACATCAAGATTTGATTCTTCTGAAATAGTCTCCTCAAATTCATTAAGAGTGTCATTACAGAGTAAAGGATCATTAGAAAAATCAGCATCTATCAAAACTACATCAGGTTTCCGATCATGACTAGGTTCATTCAACATATTTTCCTCAGATTTGCAAGGAATTTCGTCAGAATTAAGTGAATCATTAGGAAAAACCATATCTGGTACAATAACGTGAGAAATCTGATAACTCGATTGATTAGAAACTGTTATTTCGCAAGAATTCTGAGTTTCATTTAACTCTGAACTGCTATATGACTCTACACTGTCTTTTGAAATCGTTGATAAAGATAGATGATCATTATAAATACTCAACTTAATAGGGCGGCCAAACCAAAACATGGCACAAATCCATGAAGTCACTGACAAGTGGACTGAGTCATGTTGGTAGGTGTAGACTACCTGGTTGGGGACCGCGAGATGACAGCAACCGATGGTTAGAGACCCTGAATGACATGGCTCAAAATCGTTTGCAATGGCGCAGGTGCATCCACTCTCTGTGTTCTCCCAAACTCTAATCTTCTGAATTCTTCATGTCCCTTTTTTCCTCTTTCCAAATTTCTTTCACTGTATTATACTCTTTAAATAACATCTCCAAACCCTAATCTTCCCGATTACTACTTATACTCTTATTACCTCTATCACTACGGGATTTGAATCGACAAGCGCATCTCTGTGCTAATGTGGTGTGGCAACTCGAACTGATGTACGTACGTACGAAGTTCTACGTTGTTACTGACTGACTGACTGACAACTTAATAGAATCAGAATTATAAGACTGAATATTAGTTGCAGCAAGATGTACAGTAGTATTACAAACTGACTGAGTATGTCCAATATCACCACATTTAAAGCACTTTGAATTACGAAATTTACATGAATTAAAATAGTAGAACCTGCCACAGGACAAGAATTGACTAAACTTGTGCTCATTTTCGTAAACTGCATCGCAACTTCTCAATGAATTATCTGTATAACCTTGAGTATGCACTGGGTTGGGATGACGTAATGCAGTGGAATTTTTTATATCCTCGTGAATCATTTTACGAGATCTTCCTCCTTTACCACATTCGAAATTTGTATACTGAACATAGTCTAGTAGTAGTTCCTTGAGAGCTGTGTAAGAAAGCAAAATGGGCTTTTCCGGTAAAGCCAGAGTTTTTAATAAGCTATATGCTTCTTTTCCGATGAATATGAGGAAATGTGCTACAATGTTAACACCACAAATAAAGTGACCAACAGTTTCAACTAACCGGTTAGTATACACAGGTAGTGGGTGACTGTATGGGCTAAGTACTTAATTATTTAACAGCCGGTTTTTAGGAAATTTCAAATAAGTCCAACAAATAGTTTAATAACCAGGGACAATTAGTGATCATGTTCAAGAGTTTGATAATTAGGAAAACCTTACAATATAGTAGATTGCTTAGACTACTTATCGTTATATACAACTGTAAATTATAAAAACACCTGAGAAGTCATAGTTGATGGAGTATTTAGAATAAAACACGTCAAATAAAGACGATAATCAGATTATAATGTATGACACATGAATAATAAATCTGTGCAGGTGATAGGGTAACAAGATAAAATAATAAATACTTGAATTCATTACTATAATCGTAAAAATGTAACATGGTTGTTCGTAAAAAAACAAAATATTAACTTATATTGTTATATATATATATATATATATATATATATATATATATATATTCAGTACAAACATGCTGTCATTATTTGTAGTTTGATCGGTGTTCC